CAACATGTTTCTCGGTGTATTTTACAGACACACAGACACACACACACACACACACACACACACACACACAAACACACACACACAAAAAAAAAAAAAAAAAAAAAAGAAAAAAAAAAAAAAAAAAAAAAAAAAAAAAAAAAAAAATATATATATATATATATATATATATATATAATATATATATATATATATATTATATATAACTCACGCCAACAACAATTGGTTTATTTGAATGAAATTGTAGTTACCGGAACACATGTGCTGCATGTACTAAAATGATGTTTGTTGTCCACGCGAACAATGGTAATGATAGTGGAATTACACGTACATCCAGGGACGCAAGTCTGAACATTGGAATTCTTATTGATGAAATTATTGTAAAATAATTTCGAGTCAGTAAAGGCGGCAACCAAAAGGTATTCATTCTCTCTTCCATAATATAGATTTTTCACTAAATTTGAACACACTCGTTACATTGCTCTGAAAGGTTTAACAAAGATGGAGTGCCATTACAAAGGAATCAATTTTTCATTTACTTCAAAAGCATAAACATTGCAGTCATGTGAAAAAGGCCCTCTAGATTTATTAGAAGTTGAGGGCATGAAGCATAAGTACCTCACATATATAGCTACAATAATGCGATATATAACCATATCTTCTGCATTATCTGTGCATCAGTTGATCGTCGGCGACATTCTTTTAAGTGCGTTCTCACAAATATGATCTATACTCTGCCATCCACCCGGTCTTACCTTTCCACTGATCATCGAGTTAGTGTTAACATACAGGCACGCCCTCTCCCTTGTGAATTAAGCCACGGAGATAACGATATCTGGCAGATGCCCTAACAGTGAGCCAAAAGCAAACTCGAGAAGAAAACACCATTGACAGTTGACCCTCGATGCCCGTTTGGCCAGAGGGTCATTCATCTTGCGAGGAACCGTACGTTGTGGTCAGTGATAGTTTTTCCTTTCAGGATCTACCTAGCGTTTTTTTTTCATATTTATACCGTATTGTTCTCATAAAAAAAGTGAATGTTATTTTCATTATTCACCAGAAGAAGGGTGATAAACAAACAGACTCTCGTTGCTTTTCAAAGGAAGGGTGACTGACCATCAGGCCACGGAGACCTTGTCCCGCTGGCTCGCGAATCTGTGTCATACTTCCTGCTCGCTTGCCTGCCTCCTCCTCGTCTTTTTTACCTCTCCTCACTCAGTCGATTTCTTCCTTTCTTTTTCTTATCCTTCATTTCTGCTCTCTGTCTGTCTGTCTGTCTGTCTGTCTGTCTGTCTGTCTCTCTCTCTCTCTCTCTCTCTCATTTTCCACTCACCTCACTCGATCTACCTATCTATCAGTATATCTATCTATCTATGTATTTATCTATCAACCTCTCTTTCTCTCTACCCCCCTCCCCCCCTCACTCTCTATCTCATCACCAGCCGTTCCTTTTGCTGCGAACATCCTGCACCTCCGTCTCAAGAGAGGGTAGGCTGTCTCCCGAACCAAACTGCTGTTCTCTCCCTAACTGTTTCTTCACACTGGCATGCATCTCCCTCATCTCGGCCTCAAGACATCTCGAGTCATCTGCGTGTCAGTCTCTAGCAGGTGGAATCACTCATAAATAATACAAGTCTCAATACTGTTGTTGGTTGATGGGGGTGATGCGGATGACAACAGCGATTTGCATCGCTGTGTCAGGTGATGGCAGGGGGATGGGAGAGGGGGAGAGGGAAGGGCGAGGGAGAGAGGGAGGGAGGAGGTGGAGGAGGGAGGAGAGAGAGGAGAGGGAGGAATGAGAGGGAGGAGGGAGGGATGAGGAGAGAGAGGAGAGGAGGAGAAGAGAGAGGAGAGGGGAAGAAGAGAGAGAGAGAGAGAGAGAGAGAGAGAAGTGCGGGAGATGAGAGAGAGAGGAGAGGAAGGAGAGGAGAAGGAGAGGACAAAGAAAATGGGGAAGAAGAGAGAAGGAGAAAGAGGAGAAGGGATAAGGAGAAGGAAAAAACGGGGTAAAGGGAAGGAGGAGGAAAAGAAGGAGAGACAAGATGGAGAAGAAAACAATAAGCGGGAGGAAAAGTAGTAAGAAAAGATAGTCGGAGAAGAAAAAAAAGTAGAAGAGAAGAATGGAGGAAGAAGAGAAAAGAGAATTGGGAAGGGGAGAAGAGGAGAAAGAAGACAAAAGAAAGGAAAAAAGGAGACGGAGGCGGAAGTACAGACGAAAAGCAGGAGAAAAAAAAATGAACGAAACAAGGAAAGCGACGAAGCAAAGGAAAAAAAAAAAGAAGAAGAAGAAGAATTGATGATGATAATAATGATAATAATAAGAGGAATCCCCGATCAGGACATTGAACCGGAAATACTTGGGCGTTAGGTCAACCCGCACGCGCGCACATAACGGTTTTGTGCGCGCGCAAAATATGGCCCGAATTTTTTTTTTTTTTTTTTCGCTTCTTTAGTGGGAGGGTGGTTGCTTAAAGGGAATGATTTTATAAGTTTAGTTGTATTT